GGTGAGGGCAGATGAGGGAGGAGAGCTAGGCAAGGCAGTGAGATGGATATCCTCTTACGTTGAACAATGTGAAGGAGAAAAACAAGTTAATGTCTCCCCAGCACGGTAGATAATGAGAGCTTCGACGGTTCGGAAAGAAGCTGCGTCGAGTACGGCACACACGGAAACAAGGCTATCAGGACGTCGAGTCGATCGGTATCGCGATTATTCAAAGCGAGGGATCGAGAGGACGAGCGATGCGCAAGTGGATAGACCGAGAGAGTTGTCGACGATCGAGGAGGTGACGCGAGATGCGAGGCGACCTGTGACTGACGACGAGATGACTCGATCGATCTCTTGCAGCGACGCTGTGAGAGGGACGTGAGGAGACCTGGAATGGTGGTCCTCGGGCAGTGACTGGACTGCTCTAAAAGTCTCTATTGTTTTTTGGGCTACGGTTTGCGACCGGTGCGGAGAAAAGCGCGAGTGCCAGTGAAGAGACTGCGCGATGTTCGACGACAACGTTCCTGAGCGGAATGAAGGAGTGTCCCGCTGGCTGGAGAAGACTCGAAAGAGAGGAGAGAGACGACGAGCGTTGATGACGACGACGACGATGCGTGACGTGATGCAGCGAGGTCTGCCTCCAGCAAAGCTTGGCACTTGTTTGGAGGGGTGAGAGTGGGTGGAGAGAGCCAAACGGAACTGGCAGGCAGCTGACAAAGAGTGCGTGGCAGTCGAGTGGCTTGATTGGTGGAGGAAAGTAGTGGGTGGGGTCGGTCAGAACTTCCGCAGGCGCGAGAGCCTCTTTGGAAATCCAAAATCCGAGGGGGATGGCTGGGCTTCTTATATAATTGTTGGGCAGCAGCCTCCCAAGTGCGTGCACGCCCAGACGTTCCGAGCCCCGGCTCGCTGCGTGTCGTGGGTGCTCCACTCTATTTCTCCCCTAGCGAGCGCGCTAGCGGTCATGCATCCAATCACAGTCACGTCCACGCCCCTGATTTTATAGCTTGCTGGGATTTTCTTCTCCCGAGGCTCGGCCAAGTCACTCCAAGTCCCTCGAGCCCTGTCAGCCACAGCTCGGCCTGCGCTGGGAGCAGTTGCACACACGTTGTGGTGCTTTACGTCACTGACGCATCAGTCATGCCCAGGACAAACCAGCGAAGGCAAGCACAACCCTTCTGCTTGCCGTTGGCCCAGAATATGGGTACGGCAACAGCGCTTCACGAGTCAAGGAGAATGGACTCGGAAACGTTTACAAGAAGGTGTGCCGCCGTCTTAGTGATATCGCAGCCAGAGGGGAGGGTTCATGCTGAAAAGGCGGAGATAGGAAGAGGTAAGAGCAAGTTTGGCAAACTCACCAGACTCTGCGATGAAAACCTCGACAAGCTTGACCATGCACGGTTCATCTTGGGCTACAGTGGATCAGATCAGGCCTGGAACCTTATCTGGAGCCAGATGAGTGAGGGAAAGAGGGGGTACGGAGTCCGCCGTCACGAAGCTGTCGAAGAGGAGGTAATGTTCGCACGGTGCCCAGGCTCCTCCGAGCACCCCAACCACCCAATCTCGCCGAGGGGTTTTGAGCGGATGCAGTTGCGCCCGGGTGGTCAGCACGAGCTAGCGAATGCCAGCAAGGACTGAACGCTGGAACCTGCCCAGCCCACTTTCTGAAACAGGTGTCACGCTGGGGTCGTCAGGTCGTTCGGGTGTGCGCGGCCTGGTATGCGCTTCAGAACATCGAGAGATACGGGACGGGAAGTCGTGTGCGGTGCGAAGGAGGGCCGGAGTAAGCTGTTTCTAGTTGTTGTGTTTGATCGGATGTGATGCGGTGAAGAGATTTGGATGCGACGGTCGTGCATGGCGGTGACGAGCGATGGGTGCTCCTTTACGGCTGGCAGTTGGGCGTGCCGATCGTTGAAGTGACGGGGTTGGTCGGTGCTCGGTGCTCATAGTGACGGCTCGCTGGTCTTGTGGGAGAAGACTGCTGGCCCAACTCTGAGACGGTCTAATGATGCATTTCGGAGGAATTTGAGAGGTCAAAAAGGTCGAAGATATGGGGTGAATGTGTCGGGAATCGTGATCGAGCAGAGAGTTTCGAAGTCGTCGGTACGTGAGAGGGCTCTTGTTGCATTGCAGCAGGTGTGATCGAGCGAACGACTGTGCGCTGTGAGGAAAGAGGTGCCAGTGGTGCTGGAAAACTGCTGTAGCCCACAGGCAAACACGACTACAAGCAAGCCAGGGGCGCTCCCTGCCAGAAGGCGGAAGCAAAAAGCCGGGAAGGAAATGAGCCGGTCCAGGACACGAGGCAACCTGGGACAGGGCCCCTGCCCAAGGGAGGCGAGACGTGCGAACAGCACTGATGAGTCGGCCCTGTTGCGTGCTTGCACGGAGGCGATCCAGCAGCTGTCACAGCACAGGGGCGCCCCTCGGCCTGTACAGTACAGGTGGCGCGACGAGAAGAAATTTTCATCCCATCCACAACCAACCTCGCCAACAACCGACACGCACTGGCTTCCGGAGGGCTCCTGCCTGCATCCCGACAACACGAGCACACCTCGCCGCCAATCGCTCTATTGGCAGAGACTCCCAACCCCAAGTAGCATGGCTTCCAAGCATGGTCGTCCGAAGCCATGAGCATGACGCCGAGCGCAGAGGCCTGCCTTCTCCGACCGAGGCACGCACGACAGTGCCCGCAGACGCGCACGCCATGTCTGCCTGGCTGGCCGTGTCAGTCTGACACTCTGCCGCAGCTACCCAGCAGCCATCTCCGCCAAGCCGCACCAATCCGGCGCTGCGGTCTGATTCGCACAACGCGAATGACTCATTTCCCGCGCCCCATCTGTCTCCGCATTCGGCGTCTGATACGTCAACGATGCCAGGCCAGCTTGTCGTGTCTCGGGCTGTCGCGTCGCGGGTCTTCGTGTGATCCATCCTTTCATGAGGACACCTGGCCTTTCTCTCTCCCCCCCTTTCTCAGTACGATGCCTGGCCCAGCTGTTGATGGGCCCATCCTCGTCGCCATCGCCTGCCGTGCGAGTTGTTGCCAGGCTCCTGCCGTGGATGCGAAAAGGCGATGAAAATCACGGCGGCGTGCGGACTTAGAGAGCCTGGCGACACAACCAACGAAATCCCAAGCCTGCAGTGAGATGGGCTCTCTCGCCCCCACACTTTCTTTTTTGCTCCTTTTCCTCCCAGTGGTTGTCTCGCTAGGTGGCTGTCACACAAGCAACCGGCCACCACTCATCGGGGCCACACTCAACATCCCTGGAGTGTCAAGGAGGCAGACTCTGCTTGATGCATGGAGCACCCAAGCCAGTCGAGACTCGAGAAGAGGCGGACAAGGCAGGCATGTGCCCTGGCGTCTTTGTGGCGCACTGGCCACCCCCTGGATCCAGCCAGCTAAACCCCCCCTGTGCATAGCCTGCCGCTCCAGGGAAGAGGGCGAAGCAACGAAGGATGATAAGCCCACATCGATATTTTAGCAGAATGTGCGGCTCTCCGTCGGTAGGCACTTTGGCCTCTAGCCATATTCGGAAGGCCGATGTGACCTTGCGCAAGTAGAGCTATGTAGCCAGTCTCCCACACTGTACGGATGCTCTACCCGGTCTCCAGTATCTTGAGCGCAAAATCTGGGGAGACTCGGAGCTGAGCAGCATCCATGGTGGAGTGGCTGTTGACGACTCGGCCAATGGCTGAGGCAGGATGATAATAGCTGGAAGCTGTCAGAACCGTCTTTGCACGTCGTGATGACGGCAGCGTGCTTTACATCTGCAATTGCCAATGCAAAAGTTGCGATACCAGCTGCGAGTAGGACGCACATATCAGAAGCCCGCATATGACCAGCATCAAAACTCTATCCTAATAAACACTCGGGTGTATTAATGCTGGTCTGGCCTGTCAGGATACGCATAACGCCTGGTCCGAAACCTCGAGACAATACCGCAAGCGATGGTCGTTATCTGTCAGACTCGGACGTCAATGCGTCGCCAAACCCCAGGCTTTCCCCAAGCTGATCGTAGCATGGTCTGATGATTATTAGTACTACTATCACACGCATCAACCTGTCCTGGTCTTGTCGGACCCTGAAGTCGGGACAGAAATGGCTCCGCAGGCACAGGGTCTGAGACATGTTGTCCGGCTGATCACCACAGGGGGTGAGCACCTCAGGACTGTCTTATGCGCCCTTGCTTCATGTCCCCTTGGGAGGCTTTAACAAGAGCCAGACGGACCTTGACCACGAATTCTGAAATCTGTGCACTAAGGGTCTTCGAAAAGCCGACGAGGCGCCGCCCCGTTGGCATTGCGCATTCTCATGACACGCGGCTGTCTGCCCGCAGCACGAAGAGGCGTCTCCGAGGGAACTTGGATTCCAAGATCAAGAGTTCATACAGAAAGTCCAACCTCGCCGAGCACCGCGCTCACGTCAGAGCGTAATGGCATGTTCATGGAGTAAGTACCCCAGGGAGACGTACGTCCCCGCGAGCCATGTGTTCAGCGAATACCGGCACGGGCAGGCGGAAGTCATCTCGGGGCACCCCGATGCTTCTCACTCCACGACTTCTGTGCAACAATCTGAGGTGGTTTTTTCTTCCCCGGATTCCCAAAAAGCCCAGCGGACAAAAAGTTCCGCCTAACTCCGAACCTCAAGTTTCGTCTAAGAGTCCTCGAAGGTGGCCCGAACCCCGAATTGCTCGTGCTTCGTCCGAGCGTCTCTTCAACGTTGGAAGCATGTCACAGCGCTTGGGTTCGGGCTGACACACCGTCAAAGCCAAGACAACATGTCACGTTCCTTGCCCACTGCAGACATCCCCACCGGCCGCAAGCCGCAGCCGCAAAGCGGAACCAGCGCTCTGTTTTCCAGGCGACGTCTATGTTCCTTGATCAGACCACGATCGCGACGATGGGTCCCCACGACAGAAACAAAGTATCGGGCACAACACGAGAAAAGAATAGCCTGGCTGCCAGGACATGGACCGGAATAAGACCGGATGACTAATACGCACCTCTCGCGACCCAGAAACACGTCCGATATCGTCTAGCGGCTAGGATACCGCGTTTTCATCTTCTTCCACTGATGGTGATGTAAGAACCGCGGGGGCCGGGGTTCGATTCCCCGTATCGGAGACAGTCTGCATACTATGCATACTATCGTGATGACAACCGCTGTGGTGTGTTATCTTCACTTTTTTTTTTGTTCTTGGGGGTGCGCATTGTGTGGGCCTGGCCAGAGCTGTGAGTGTGCTCTTGACAACGGCAAAGCCTGGCCAGTAAGAAGACGACGGGTGCATACGAGCATGCTTAAAACGCTGTGATTTCTTGGCCGGCTGTCGACATTGCTGTTGCAGACCTCAGGAGCGATTTAGGAGACGTGCACTGCGCAGGGCACTCCAACTTCCAGATGGACTGCCCTCTCCCTATTGGAAAAGACCTTGTGCTGAGCGTGATTCCAGGCTGGACATTGAACTATACTCGACGACAGGCGTCGTGTCGATGTCGATGCCAAGAACAGAGCCCGGCATCAACACCTCAGCTCGTCGTCAAGTGCGCCCTTTGGACGACCAGCAGCTCGCGGGTGCAACGGTGTACAGCCAGCCAGGCCTTCGCCTGTCCGGGGTCCCACCCCGGGCGGCCTTCGCCGTGGCCGGCCACCGAGGCCAAGGCGTCATTCTCCAAGGACCCCTCACAATCCCTTGGCGCCTGTATCTTTTTTCCCACTGCCGGCGCTTACCAAGATAGCATATATATTCACACCGCAACAGCAACCCCAGGTTGTCGCAACGGACTCTTGCAGACTTGCGCTGCTTCTAGACAGCGGCTTGCTTGCTTGCCTGCTTGCTATAGACTCCTTTGTGCTTTTCGTCCACGCTCGTCGTTATTTCGCAAGTGTGAAAATCTTGCCTGCCATGGACGAGACAGCGCCTCTCCTGCCGGAGGAGACACGGGCGTTCGAGGCCCGGAGACACAGCATCGAGGCCGCGTCGGTGGCCAACAACAAGGACCTCGTCTACTTTGATCCCGATGGCGACGACGAGAACCCCATGGACTGGCCGGCACCCTACAAATGGGGCATTGTTGCCCTGCTTGCGTCCATGGCCTTTACTGTGTAAGAGATGCATCCTCGTGGGACGCCTCACTACATCATGGTTTCAGGAAAGCTGACACGATGACGCACTGCTCCAGAACGTTCACGTGCATCTCCGTGGTCCCCATTGCGACCCGTATCGTGGCAGATCTCGACGGCGAGGGCAGCACGCCCAGCAGGTCGTCGAGCGTGCTGCTCGTGACCATCTGGGAGCTCGGCGAGGCGGCCGGGCCGCTCTTCATCGCGCCCCTGTCCGAGGCGTACGGACGGTACCCCGTCGTCAACATCGCCAACATGCTCTTCATCGGCACCGTCGTGCTCGCAGCCCTCGCCACGAGCAGCGAGACCATGATCCTCTCGCGCTGCCTCACGGGCGTCGCCGTCGTCTCCAACGTCCTCAACCCGGCCATCGTGGGCGACATGTTCCCGCCCGAGCAGCGCGGGACGGCGATGAGCCTGATCCAGCTCGCACCCCTCACCGGTGGCGCCATCGGCCCGGCCATCGCGGGCGCCATCGCCGAGACCGCGGGCTGGCGCACCATCCTGTGGATGTCCGTCGGGCTCGCGACGGCGTGCGAGATCCTCTTCCTCACGCTCTTCCGCGAGACGTACCAGGTGGCCATCCTGCGGCGCAAAGCCGCGCGGCTGCGGCGCGAAACGGGCAACGCGAAGCTGCGCACCATCTTCGAGGTGCAGGACGACGAGAGCGGCGTGTCGCCCGCGGGGCGGGTGCTCGAGGGCGCGATGCGGCCCTTGGTCGTCTTCTGCGGGTCCGGCGTGCTGCAGGCCATGTCGCTCTTCGGGTCTGTCGTCTTTGCCTTCTTCTACATCATGTCGACGACGCTGCCGGACATCCTGCAGGATCTGTACCAGCTGTCGCCGGCGATGACGGGGCTGTCGTTTATCCCTTTCAGTGAGTCCACTCCCCAAAATCTTGTCTTCCCACAACATCAGACCAGCATGCTCGCCCAGTCTGCAACATTGCCTATCCAACATGCATCATTGTACTGACTACCACAACCACACAGGCCTTGGTTCCAGCGTCAGCGTTATCGTCTGCAACATGATCCTCGACCGCATCTACATCCGCATGCGCGACGCCAACGGCGGCGTCGGCCAGCCCGAGTTCCGCCTCCCCGTCGTCATCGCCGGCGCCTTCTCGCTGCCCCTCGCCGTGCTCCTGTACGGCTTCATCGCGCAGGCCCGGCTGCCCTTACCCCTGCTGCTCTTCAGCGTGGGGCTCATGGGCGGCACGCTGATGCTCGGCTTCCTGCCGGTCATGAACTACTTTGTCGACGCGTTCGGCCTGTACTCGGCCTCCGCCATCACCGCCATCATCGTCACGAGGTGCATCATGGGGACGTTCCTCCCGCTGCTGGCGCAGCCGCTGATCGAGTACCTGGGCTACGGCGGCGGGTTCGCGGTGCTGGCGGGGATCCTGCTCGCGCTGGCGCCGATCCCGATGCTGGTGATGCGGTACGGCGCGAGGTGGCGGCAGGGCTCAAAGTACACGCGGGATGCGTGAGCAGTTCTTTGGCTTTGATCAAAGGGGCGTGCAGAGGCATGGTGAAGCTTGTTATTGTCGGTTGGTTCCAAGATGGGGGCTAACGTTGGTGCGGGTTGTTGCTTTCTCCTATACCCTTTCCTCACATGCCATGGTTGCATTTCTATCATAGCTAGATCGTGTCAGAAGACATTAAGAAACATTTTCTAGAGCAGCCTGGTGATTGGACAGCCTTGACAGAGCAGATTGCCAAAAATTGCGAGGGCAACCAAAGCTTTGTGTGGATGTGCTACCCATCAATAAGTTGCATAAATGTTTCCGTTTCAAAATCGTCGACACTGGTGATGCCGTATCTGGACCGAGCTGCGCTTGCTGGCTTATCAGTACGTGGTGGACGGCCACTGGCTGGGCATTCCCGATTAGGTTGTCGTAGCCGGAGTTGGAGATGCTTCGCTATCAGCGGTTTTGGGGAAACGCGGGGGCGACCAACGCCATGAGCAGTGCAACAGCGTGCTACTCTCGAGCTTAATTCGTGCGTGGTATTAGACAGTGATACTGAGGGTAATGTTGCCTCGTGACTGCCGGCCATACCCCTCATGTTATCAATGAATACAAACTACCTTAATATACCCTAATGCACTTCTGACAACTCTTGTGTGGACATTGTCTCGAACGACTGTCGTCACTTCTCTCCAAGTCAGCTTTGAGATCACGCATGCTCTTCCTGTTGACTTCTCGTGCGATACTTTGCAGAACAGTTCCGACCCATCGCGACTTATCCGCCCTATATTATTAGAACAACTGGTCTTATCCCCGGTGCTTATAGCAGACGGCCAGGCTCACCGTCCCGGAAACCTACCTCGGAACAGAGCATGCTCGGAGCGCGGGCGTGTGGACATCAGCCAGTATGACTTCGAGCGCAATGTTCTGGCCTGCAGTCGGCCTGCTGTTCTGCATCGCAACTTTCCTCGGCCTCAGCAAGGCGACAGGACAAGACCTCCTGAGTAGGCTCGGTATCCGCCGCGCATCAGTGTCACGACCTACAACACCCAATGTCGAGAAACAACCACTGGCTCCCTCCGCGGACAAACCGCCAACAGCATCCTCAACTGCCGCGAACCTCAAGACAACCTTCCCTCCTTCCCAGCGGGAACAGCTCGTCCAGCTCCGCAAGCACCTCCCGGCAACCCAGCAAGCCGCCCTCGGGGACCCAGCGTCGTCTTGCAGCGAGGAGACCTTCCAGCAGTCCCTGCTCCGCATGGACGAGGACTACAGGACATCCGGCGACTCCAGGTACTCGTACACCGGGTTCTCGGTCCGCGAGATCAAGGCCCTGGGAGACTTCCCAGACTACGCGGGCCTCTCCGGGGTTCCCCTGCCGCAGGCGTACCGCGAGTTTGATATCGACCGGGCGAAGCCGAGGCCGTATCGGCCGTTCAGGTGGGGGTATCACCAGACCATGTGTAAGTCTTTCCATCAAAACTGCCGTATATTTTGAGGAGGCATCCCCTTGGCACAATAATCCTGACATACGATTTTCTCTTTTTTGTTCTCTTACACAGCCCTCACCAAACTCGACACGGACTGGTGGCTCGAGCTCGAGAGCACGTACAAGTCGCGCATCGCGCAGCGGCAGCAGCTCTACCGCGACCACGGGCCCGACGTCCTGCAGGCCCTGCCCGGCTCGGAGCTCGCGTGCAAGGAGCTCATGGAGATGGTCGTGCAGTTCCTCTGCGCGCGGTACCCGCAGTACTTTTCGCTGCACGGGGCAGAGGGCAAGACGACGACGACGACGACGACGACGACAACGACGCTGCACAACAGGATCCTCGGCACCACGACCGTCCTGAGCAGCAGCGACCCGGACGTCGAGGCCGTGGAGCCGCTGCACGTGCTGCTGAACAACGTCCCCGAGGACTTCGCGATGACGCTGCGCGACCCGGAGACGGGCTACTACCACTTCCGCGCGGGCGTCATCTGCTCGTCGCTCGGGTGGAACGTGGCGACCAAGATTGGCCTGCGGCTCGACGAGATTCACAAGATCGTGCCGGATTATAAAGAGAAGATGGCCTTCAGCATGGACCGGTATGTGTTCTTCTGCTTAAGATTTGTTTTTATTTTTCTTTCTAATCATTTTTTTCATTTTCTTTGCACTCTCCTTCATTTTATTCTATTTCTGTACCACTTTTGCACTCTACCACATGAATATAATCAGCACCTCCCGTTCTCGCTGGTTATTGTCTTTTCACTCTTGGTTTCATTATTGTTTAGTTATACATATCTGCTGCCAATTACTTTTCTTTTCTCATCCACCCCATGGAATTTTTCCTATGGACCTCGCACACTGAGTCAATACAGGGCAATCAAATCGGGTTTCTGTCTCCTTTCTTTTTTGGGTTTCAATATCCTTTTTAGTATTGTCTCTAGAACGGCAAACATCGTCACAAACCAAACCACGCTAACACTCCTATTTTATCAATTTGCTTGCCCCCCAGCTTCTTCTCCAAGATGCCCACATCCAAACCAATCCAGCGCGGC